TTTAATATGAATATTACAATATAACATGTGATTTATACAGTAAATATTCCATTCCATGTGACTAGTGTGACAACCCCATCAACTCACAACTCAGCTTTGTACTGAAATATTGTCTTTTACCGGCTTTGTGTCCATAATGTATTTTCCAACCAAAGCAAGTTCACAAATAAGTGTCGATACATTTATATCAAATGTCGATCCTAAAAACATCGAAACTCGTAACTATAATGTAATAGGTCACTTTACAATGTAACCGGTTTAAATTTACCGATTTTCTGAGAAAATAGGTCTACAATATATATCGACACTTTATTCATTTGTGTCGATACATGTTGTCCAGAATGTATTTCCAAACCAAGTGCACGAACAAAGTGTCGATACATTTATACCAAGTGTCGATCCTAAAAACATCGAAACACATAATTATAATATAAATAGGTAACATAACAATGTAACCGGTCTAAATATACCGGTTATTAAAAAAAAAAGGTATACATAATGTATCGATAATTTATACATTCGTGTCGACACTTTATGTCCATAATAAATTTTCCAAACAAGTTCACGAAAAGGTGTCGATACATTTAGAAAAATTGTCGATCCTAAAAGCATCGAAACCCGTAATTATAATGTAATAGGTCACTTTACAATGTAACCAGTTTAAATTTACCGGTTTTCTGAGAAAATAGGTCTACATAATGTATCGACACGTTTTAAATTTGTGTCGATACTTTTTAAAATTACGCGTGTTTTTTTCTTATATATACAAAACCCAAATCAAAAAACCCTAAAGGCAGAGAACTCTTCCACTCCGATAGTGATGACCTTCAAATGAAGCCCCAACATATCAACATTGAAGAAAATCGAAAGCGACCAGTAAGTATCAATGTATTCATGTAATTGTTCTTGAAATGGTAATTGGATTCAAGTGTTTAAGATCTTTTAATTGATTACAAATTTCAAATCTCTACAGTCTGACTGAATGCAAAATGATAAAGGAAGCTCATAATCATGTTGACTGCATAGCCAATAAAACACCCTTTCAGGGTCCAAATGGTAAGCTACGAATTGGTAAGACAAGACTTTCTTTGAGGGTTTAGGGACTGAATTCCTACAACGTAAGGAGTACATGATTGAACATTACATATAATAGTTGTATTCAGTTGTTGAAGAATTGTTTTTAATTTTATACGAATATAGTTGTAATGTACAAACATGATTGAATGTTGTGGTTTATTTGTAATAACAATAGGTTGTTGTACATGTTTCTTATACACAGTATGAGTCATATTGATACTTAGGATATATGGAGATCGTTGTCTGCATTATTCCAAATATCTCTAATATCATGTGCGGGACTGAATGACCAGTCCATTCCATCTTCAAAAAAATCAGTTGAAGTAGGCTGCGTGCTTGTATTCAAACCCAGCTTGACTTGAGGACATGTTAGTTTGATATGCCCCTCACCGTTGCAGAACCCACATCGCCTAATTTTCTTATCGACCTTGTTCTTTGTTACTTTTTTTCGCTTGCGTTGTTTTCGTTGAGGGTCGCGAACATTGTTTAATACACTGCTCCGATTGACTGAATCATTCAAACCAAACAAGTTCTCAAATTCTTCTGTTAATCTTTTCATCTCATCTCTTACGGTTTTGAAAGACGCGTCTGTCTTTGATGCAACATAGCATAACATACTTGTTGTTGCATGTAGAGAAGCAAACCTTGCCATTTGCATTATTTCTGGAGGCACATTAAAATCAACAAAACTGGATGCAGAAGCCTTCGCATCCTTAGTCCACCTAATTTGAATCAAAGACCCGGGCAAATATGTGTAATCCAAGTGCTTCAAAACGTGAAGTTGATGGCGACATGGAAGTCCAACTGTCTTGAATTTTTTGTATGAGCAATTTAGGGTTTCCGTATGAGAACCAAAACTAATTTCAAATGTCCTATTTTTTTCTTTGTACTTTTTCAAATAAAAATATTGGCATTCGTCTGATAAGGACTCAATCTCTTCCTGAATCCGGTACAATATCTCCTGTTGAAGTTCTTCTTGGAACGCACGCAAAGATTCACGCGTATAAATCTCAGAAGCATGACTTTCAAATTCAACCAGTTTTGTGATCAGGAAGGGCTTCGTCTGGGAACTTAAGTAATCTGCTTTCAACTCGTTCAGACACATTCTACTAATTCCATCTTCAATTGCACGAACAACATCTAAATATGTCTTCTTGTGTTTCAGTGCAATTGTGAGTGAAGCATTCATAGACTCGCACCTTTGTGTTGAGCGAATATTAGCAAAGAAATGACCGGTTAGATATGCTTGTGCCCATAAGTGCCGAGTATTTCCCTTCTCAATCACCCATGGATGTTTTTCGACATTGAACTCTGAAACAACTGAACGCCATTGAATATTAAAATCGTCGGTTGTCCACCAGGAAACCATGCATTTTGAGAATGCTCCTGTAAATTTTGGGTCACCAATGTTAGCTTTTGCATTACGAGAAATATGCCAAGAACATAATATGTGCTTAGCATTAGGGATAACAGATTTGACAACCCTCTGCATTGCCCTATCCCCATCGGTGACAACTGAAATAGGCGATTTGTTCATCATGGCTTCTAAAAAATTCTGTAGCACCCACTCAAAAGATTGGGACGTCTCGTCAGCGATTATGGCAGTAGCAAACACAATTGTGTTATGGTGATGATTGACACCGACAATAGGCATAATTGGTCGACCATACAAATTATCTTTGTACGTTGTGTCGAATGCAATTACATCACCGAAGCATATGTAATCTGATCTCGATGTAGAATCCGACCAAATAAGATTATGCAACGCCCCTGATTCATCTACCGAGTATGTCACAAAAAACCCGGGATCATCATGTTTCTTATAATCAAAGTAAGCAATAAGCGCATTCACATCCCCATCGACGATTTCCTTTGCTTTGCCTCTTTGAAGTGCATTGTAGAGGTCTTTATGTGTAAATCCAACATTATGATAGCCCCATGCCTGCTGCGTTAAATAGTTCATTACTTGTGACTTGCAAACACCGACCTCTTTCAATGTTGTTGCCTCATCGATATCAGCCTTACTTACAGCTCTATTAGAACGCATAAATGGTGTCATAGCATGTGTGCACAATGCATGATTATGTTTCTGATAAGACTTACTTATAACCCACTGATCGTTTGTATTTGTTGCTGTAACTACGATTCTAGCCTTGCATACTGTTCTTGTGATTGGCGTATGAGCACGTTGACGATCAACGGTATTGACTTTTGATACTCGAAACCCTTCTTTGGAACAACAAAATTCTTGTGTCTTCACATTCCCTTCCATGTCAAGCCGTGTTGTTCCCCGACGTGCACTAAACCCATGTTCCCGTACGAATTCCTTATAAAAGTACCAAGCTTGATCACGTGAAGAGAAGAGCTTACCAACCAATATGTCAGATTCATCAACATTATGTACTTTATGGCATTCCTCGGTTGGCTTAACATTGTCTGTATCAGTATGATCCATGGCAAAAATTTTGTTGTGCAATTTCAATGGTCCCAACAGGAGTTGATGGAGATGTATGTAAGTAAAGGTTCATTCATGTTTCAGTGGTGCTTTCAATAGGATGTAGTGTGGGGTATTGGTAGTGGTGGTAGTTGAAGGGTGGGTACAACATTAAATTTTGCGGGATATATTCAGGTATGTACAATAACTACATAATTCAATAACTTTAAAGTAATAGGTAAAATTTTAATGTAGGTGGTAAAATTAGACTATTTTAATGACAAATAATTATAATATAATTGGTAAATTGACAATGTAACCAGTATACATATACCGTTTAATTATAAAACTAGTTAACATAAAGTATCGACACTATTAGATTTTGTGTCGATACATTTATAACAAGTATCGATCCCAAAATCAAAGAGACCGATAATTATAATGTAATAGGTAAATTTACAATGTAACCGGTAGAAATATACCGGGTTCATGAGAGAATAGGTCAACATAAAGTATCGACATTTTTTTAATTTGTGTCGATACATTTTTTCAAAATAAATGGCAAACGAGGTGTACGCATAAAGTGTCGATACATTTGTAAAAAGTATCGATCCTCGAAACATCAAAATCGATAATTATTATGTAACAGGTAAATTTACAATGTAACCGGTTAAAATATACCGGTTAATTAGAAAATAGGTCTACATTATGTATCGACACTCTTTAAATATGTGTCGATACTTTTTTCCAAAATAAAGCACAAACGAGTTGCACGCATAAAGTGTCGATACATTTAAAATTGTATCGATCCCGAAAACATCGAAACCGATATACATAATGTAATAGGTCAATTTATAATGTAACTGGTTTAAATTTACCGATTTTATGAGAAAATATGTCAATATAAACGCTATCTATTACATTATATAAACGCTACCTAATTTGTTATTGTACTTGATAATATATATGGTTAAATGCCTATTTTATTATATAAGCGCTACCTATTACATTATATAAACGCTACCTAATATGTTATTGTGCTTGATAATATTTCCAGTTAAATGATATAACATAACCGATCTAAATTTTAACCGATCACTTATTTAACCGGTCACGTCATTTTTTAACCGTCTCAAACTTTCCCGGTAACAGGTGGTTTCGATCCTTTCGTATAATTTCACTTGAGTTCTTATGTCTTAACAGTCCATGTCTTAACATTAGATAAGACCCTGCTTCTCTCATGATTATGTGAAAGAATCTGCTACTAATATAAAATGTTTTCTCTTCAATAACCTCACTGAACGCGATTGTGTAGGTGATGGGTTGCTTATGCACCAGTGAAAAACAGCCCCTGAGGGACCCAAGGGGCAGCGCAACAAGTTCAGTGAGGAACTGAGGAACCGAGGTTTCAGAATCGAGAAAAAAGAGAGGAGTAATTGGAATCACTGTTTGACATCCGTGCCCAAAATACAGTACAGGGAGAGAGATAAATTACACAAAACAAAGAAAATCAAAGTAGGAGCCAATAGGAATCAAAGTGGTTGAAGATGTTACAATCAGATTCTTCCAAAAAAAAAAAGGAATAAATCCTCAATCACCAACACTTGTTAATCTTGAACGATGTGAATCAGAATAGTAGCTTCATCACTGCTGGGAGCTGCACTCTCTGCTCATTCACAACGTATCACTAGTAAATATGCAAAAACTTCAAGTAAAAACCAAAGAAAAACATTACCATGATGATGCTGAAAGAATTTAACCTGGAAGAGATGTAGGCAACCGTGAAACAATGTTATCAATAATACCTCCACCCTCTGTTTTCTCTGCTTTGCTTTCATCTTCACCACATTCTTCCACCTTTTGTTTCTTATTGCTTCCCTCTCCCACTTCGCCCTCGGAGGGGTGAAACAGGTTGTACATAAGGTTGTTGATAAACCCTCCGCCGCCGCCACCACCTTCTTCCTCTGATCTCAAACCTGGTTCATTTTCACTTGCGGTTGTATCATCAAAAGCTTCAGCTTTTACTTGGGTACTGATGTTTCCACTTCTCGGACTTAAAGGACTGACCAGATTGGATATGATATGATCGAAAAGCCCGCCGCTCTTTTTGTCATGTTTTCCCTCTGCACCTGCACTGATCGTCTCCTTCTCGGCTTGTTCGGTTCGGTTTTCTCCATCACCGTTAACGAAGTTGGATAGGAGATGATTAATGAATCCACTGCCGCCATTAGCTCTCTCTTCTCCGTTTTCTTTAGCTGCTTCTGGGGTTTGCTTTTCTTCTCCGGGGACTTCATCGTCTTCCCTGGGATTTACTGCATCGGGCATAGCGTCTTCCATCTTTTCACCTTTTTGGCTGGTTTCTTCAACATCGAATAGGGGTATTAATGAGAGGGTTGAGATCCACCGTAACGGGGAAAGGAATGGCAAAGTCGTCATTTAGTGAGAGGATGGTGGTAAAAGGGTCTTCTTACACGTAATTATGTAGCCAAGTCGGCCAACAAAGGTGACACGTGTCTTATTGTCGGAGACTTATCGTCTTTCAAGGAGTTTTATGATTTCAATACAAACATTTACATACATGGTCGGTGGAGTATAATACCGCCTTTGTCAGAAATACAATACACGGACAATAACGTCGCCGTTTCACTTCAATAATTAATTTCATTAAAAATATTTAATTCAATCTTTGAACTATTAATGGAATAAATTACGCATTTAGTACATAAATTATTAATTTTTTATCTATTTTAATATTTAAATTTATTTTTTTAAAATAATACTTAAAGTTTAGATTTTGTTTTCGTTTAATACATCGTCATTAAAAACTTAAATTTTTGTTTAATTTAGTACTCGTTCAAAATTTAACGTTAAATTTTGAACAAATTTGAAAGTTCAAGTATTAAAATTGACCAAAATTGATGATTTAGGTACTAAACGCGTTACGTTTTTAACGATAGAGTATTAAAATGAAATAAATATTAAATATTAAATATGATTTTAAAAAAATTGAAAATTTAGATACAAAAATATACCAAAACTGATAGTTTAGGTACTAAATGCATAATTTACCCTTATTAATATTGTTTCAATAAGATACCATTAATCTAGTCATGGATAGGGTGTTGAATGTCAATTTAATTTTATAACAAATACATTTAAAACACGTAAATCAAAATCTAAACACTATATATCTACTCCCAAAGTAAAATTTAAACACTACATACCTACCACAAAAGTTAGTATTAATCACATTCTGTTTTAACATGTCAAATTCAACTATCCATACAATAAACTTTTAAATATGTTCCACGTCAAACCCAAACAAATATTTAGGTGGTGTTTGTTTTTGCAGAGATAAAAGATCTGCAGTCTGCGGACCACGTCTGCAGTCTTACGGACCACGTCTGTAGTTTACGGACCACATCTGCAGGCATCTGCAGCAGAAGAGGTGGACCAAAAGTCTGCAATCTGCAAGAAGAAGACTGTTTGTTTGCTAAAATGAACTGAAATATAAATAAACTGATTTTTTAAACTTAAAAGAGTTTTGCAATACTGAGATTTAAATAATTTTAGTTTTACAATACTAAAATTTAAATAATCCATACAACTAAAATAATAAATTATTTAAAATAAACCAATCTATATTTTAAAATAAATCAATCTATACAAATAAATTATTTAAAATAAATCAAATTATACTAATAAATTATTTAAAATAAATCAATCCATATTTTAAAATAAATCAAATTATACTAATAAATTATTTAAAATAAATCAATCTATATTTTAAAATAAATCAATCCATACTAATAAATTATTTAAAATAAATCAATCCATATTTTAAAATAAATCAATCCATACTAATAAATTATTTAAAATAAATCAATCTATACAACTACAATAATAAATCAATCCATACAAATAAATTATTTAAAATAAATCAATATATACTAATAAATTATTTAAAATAAATCAATCCATACTAATAAATTATTTAAAATAAATCAATCCATACAACTACAATAATAAATCAATCCATACAAATAAATTATTTAAAATAAATCAATATATACTAATAAATTATTTAAAATAAATCAATCCATACTAATAAATTATTTAAAATAAATCAATCCATATTTTAAAATAAATCAATTTATACAAATAAATTATTTAAAATAAATCAATCCATATTTTAAAGTAAATCAATCCATACTAATAGATTATTTAAAATAAATCAATCAATACAACTACAATAATAAATCAATCCATATTTTAAAATAAATCAATCCATACTAATAAATTATTTAAAATAAATTATTTTAAAATAAATCAATCTATATTTTATAATAATTTATTTTAAAATAAATTATTTTATAATAAATTATTTTAAAATAAATTATTTTATAATAAATTATTTTAAAATAAATAACTTTATTAAATTATTTAAAATTATTTTAATAAATAACTTTATTTTATAATTATTCTTGAAGAGGTTTAAAGACCTTTAAAGACATAAAATCAAGTTTGCACCAAGAAGAGCTTGCGCAGACGTTTGAAGAGCTTCTGTCTTTTAAAAAACAAACAGTTTGCGAAACCTAATGTCTGCGCGTGGTTTGCACGACGTATACATAAGTAGTTTAAAGAATTTGCACAGTGAAAACAAACACCACCTTAATGTTTAAGCATATGACTGGAGTGATGGAAGGACAAAATTGAAATGATATTGATAATTGGATTACTCAATTTGAATATACTTAAATTCGGAGACTAATTTAGAACCTAAGCATAGTTCAAATATGTCTGGTACAATTAACAAGGGTAACTTACACATTTGGTACCTAAACTATCAATTTTCACTCATTTTAGTACATAAACTTTCAATTTTTTCAAAATCATATCTAAAGTTTAAGTACTAAAATAAAAAAAACTAAAACGTTAAGTATGATTTAAAAAAAAAAAGTTTAAAGTACTAAAACAGACCAAAATTGATAGTTAAATGCGTAGTTTACCCTTAACTCTTTTAAGAATTAAAGAAAGAAATATCATATAAAAGAAATATATAGGCAGGCACTTCACATTTCACAAATCCATGGACATGCACAAACAAGATTTTCATTAATCAACATTGGTATCAATACAGGAAAGTGTATCACATAAAGAGTTAAACATGACTCGCTCTTCTTCATCATTTAAAATAAAAACTCTGCCTAAGTTTTCACAAGAACCAGAAACCATCACCATTGCAAGATATATGATCAAATTCAAAGGGGTTGGTTGCTTATCCAATCAGAACTTACCTATCAGAGTTGACTTCTTTGCGGTAGCTATGCTATGGATAATTCTCTCTCCGACCATATATAGCCTCCAACTCAGCTTTCTTTTGTGCTTCCCTTGCTGCCTTCCGTCGAGCATCCCTCGCATCAGAATCAGCTTCTATTTTCTCCATTATCCTGTCGAAACCAGGAATCGTCCTGTGCAGTTTTTCATAGACTTGGGTACTAAGGTTGTAAAAAATTCGGAACAATCTCTGCAGGTGAACAAAAAACAACATAAGGTTACAACATTAGGGTTTGTGGAATAATGAATCATTGTCATCATATTAGAAAAGATCATCGGAACTCGGAACAGTTTGAAAGCTACTGCTCAAAGATAGTAACTAGTAAGATACAAAAAATCATAACATGTTGAAGGCAAAAGAACTAATATACGATGAGAGTGAGGTAGTTACTTTAGTTATCGAACTTGCGACTTGAACAACATCATACTCAGAAAAGATTACACCCTACTTTGACATCCTTATTCCAGTGTCTAATGTATGGAGGACCAGTGTGGTAGGTGCCGAGAGGTTCTCGGTACCACTCTCCACCATACGTAATATCATCCATTGCTTGCTCAACACTTAAAACTTCCCACGGCCTTAAACCAGGGATAACTTTGGCCGGTTTTCGCCTGCCTCACAAAAGCAACCAAAACATTAACATTTTTCAATATATAGAACAATTCTAAATAGACTCTTCTAATAAGATGATAACCGTCAAGAAAACATGCAATTTCAGAAATATGTTGTACAGTCATCTTCAAACACCAAACCAGATAACGTAGGCTAGAAGAAGAGAAATAATACCGAAGATCTTATGAAATGTATTTGTTTGGCATATGATCAGCTTCCAAAACAGTTGTCAGTTCAGAGCCACTAGCCCAAAGAAATAGGGCATGGCTGGGAATTCTAACTCCAGGCCATATGCCGTCATTAGCTTCTAGGACGGCCAAATCACGTCTTTTGCTCTCTATAGCTTCTTCTTGAAGCTGCTTATAAGTTTTATCCTCATGTCCTTTAAGGGGAACACAAGGAGGTATACCTTTCTGAAGTTTATGAAGGAAAGCTGTTGCTGCCGCAACAAGCCTAACTGATCATCAATACAAGACGATAGTAAATCAACAAGAAATCCGGACCATGAGATAATACTTTTTTTTTATATAGAAGTAGGAGGCCTCATTAAAAACCTCCCTCATAGTTGGCTATGGAAAAGAGGCAACTAGCGGAAGGAGGAAAAGATTACCTCAGTTTATTAATAAGTCAGCAATTACAAAAGAGAGAACCATTACACCTTAGACATCAATTTAAACAAAAACCATTTTAAGCGCCCTAGAAAAAAACCCTTACAATCACCCAATCCCCTCCTTAGCTAATTTATCAGCCTCCCAATTACAACCCCTAGGAATTAATCTCACAATAACCGCCCTAGCTAAAGCTAGGGACCCAATTTCCAAAACCAGGGAACTGAAGAAGGAAGGAGCAGTATTCGGCAACAAAATCCAGTCAACGGCAGTTTTGCAGTCACTCTCTATTATCAGTCTTCCCTTCGATGCCCAAAATGATGAAATAAAAAAGTCAATGCCTTTTTTAATGGCTTTCAACTCAGCCAAAGGAGGAGGGCCAGGACCAACACTATCAGAGAAAGTCGCTAAAGTATAGCTATTAGAATCTCTCAAAATACCTCCGATTCCACCCGCCAGCCCATCATTCCTGACAGCCCCACCTACATTCATTTTGAAAAAATCTGCTGGGGGAGGAAGCCAGCTTTGCACCATCCTTCTATGAAAAGTATGGCTAGGAAGCCTGCCTGCAAGAGAGGGGTCCCCGACCAGCAAATCAACCTGAATATGAACTTGTAGGAACTTAGCTAGAAACCATTTGGCCAACCTAAATCTAGTTATGAAGAAAAGTGAGGATCTGTCGAGAATCATATTATCAAAAACAATTGAATTCCTAGCCTTCTAGATGGACCAAAAAACAACTCCCGGGCTAAATGGAAGAATTAGCCCTGAATTCAGACCATGAACTAAGCAGGGAAGGGGGATCTTGAGGCAAAGCTGAAGAGATGTCCCAAAACCTGAAAAATCTGTTCCAAAGTTCCCAAAACCATGAGATAATACTCATTTAAATATAATGCATTTGATAGCATCTTCAAGCTGAAAGAAATCATTCCTGCAACAGTATAAGGTTACTTTGGCTCTAGATTCCAAATGATTGAAACGGATAATCTGAAAGTTCTGAATCTTCTATTCAATAGATCACAATATTTAAATGGAATTCCTCGTTTAAGTTTGTGGAAAAAAGCAAACAATAAAAAAATTGCCAGCAAAAGTAATATATTATGTACAAAAGGCAGGCCTCAACTAAATAAGCATCATAGCATTTTATATGGATTTAATTGAGTTAAAATCGCATCCCGTGCTCATTTCAATATTTTCTGAATCACCATGAAATCACCTAATCATGTGTCACGATAATGCACATGAAACCTCATTCATCAAAGTTGTATTTGACTTAGATAACTAATACCATTTTGGTACTGCATTTTGCAGATACAACTGAAGAACACTAACAATTAACTATCTGATATGTTTGAAACTATGAAAGACAATTCCCAGTGTACACAACGTGGCTAACCTGTTTCCACATATAATATACAGATTTAAGTTAAAAGCATAAGAAAAAAAAGGAAAATACACAAACCTTCCCAAGTGGCTATTGCACGTTCCATGCCATAAATCATATGAATAGGTGCCCATTCATCCATGTCTTCTCCCCAAATAAAAGTGTTTTTATCAATAATCCCACCACCCCAAGCTGTTTTGAGGGTTATTAACTCACAAGGTCCTCGGGTTCGAAGCAGGCGATCTTTATAATACCATCCTCCACTTCTCATGATAACTGTATCCACAAATAACCAAGAAATTATTGATTATAAAAACAATGTAGAACATAAGATGAAATCAAACTCTAAAAGTTAGAAACTCCAACAATTCCTAAACAATTTGTGGTAGAACCAGGCTTAACAACGCGTCTCCAGCCGCTTATACCCGATGGCTTGAGCAACATCAATGGGTTTCCCAAGTGGATAAGGCCTCTGGCGGAACCCCCAGAGGCCAAAGAAGAACTGTCGAGTGAAATCCCAAAACTTATCATCACTCTCTTCCCTTGTTTTGATAGCCTTTCTAGGCATAAGCCTCCCATCCAACCCAATAACGTGCGGGACAGCTTGCCACAGCAATTTCCTCGGCTCTAGCCAAGAACTGAACCACGGGACTTTTCCTGAAACCATTCCACCATTTCTCATTCTCCTTAATCTCCTCCTCCGTCGGATTCTCTTTCTTCTCGAAAAAGGGATCATCGTTCAGAATCTTATCGACCTCCGGAGTGTGCCTGTAATCAGGGAGGTTCTCTCATTCCCAAAAGAACTGGTCCAGCATCTGCTTGTATGGCCCGGGGTTGTCGGAATCCGGGTCGGATTTCTTGGGTTTTCGCTTGAAGAGGCTGGAGCCGTTTATGGAAGGAAGTTTGGAGAGGTTGAGGATGTTTTGGGGAGGAATGACTCGGCGACTGAGTGAAGGTTGATGAATTGAATCGGGTTTTGAGGTTTTCTGAACCAGCTTTCAAAGGGATTGAAGTTGATTGAAGTCATTGGGGAGATTTGCTTCTAAGGGTTTAGAGTTTTGGTGAGGTTTTAGGGAACGGAGTTCGGTATGTGGCGACGCAGCTACCATAGATAATGAGTTTTCTCGAGTGATAAGAGTGGAAGCGGAAGCGGAAGCGGAAGCGGAAGCGGGTAGTACTATTAAGCGGCGTTGATGTTCATGAGCCTTACGAAAAGATAAGGCCTAAACTTCGTTGGGCTATTTGTTCTGAATAGCCTCTTGGACTATGAATACTTGGATTTTACTATAAATACCATACATCTTAGGTAACAATGGTGATTTCATCTTAATCTCCTGAATTTTGATTTGATCTAATTTTATAATTTTAAATATTTTAAAATTTTAAGTTTAAATAAAATTATTTTATTTATTTTCGAAGGATTAAGTTGTGTTTGAATTTACCTCTAGTATGATACTTGTTATGTCGGTTATAATAACAAGATCAATTGACTGAATAATTGGATTATCTTTTTCAAGGAGTTAAATCATCTCATATATTGATCGAACCCTTAGTTTGAAGATATTAATCAATCTTTTACAAGGCCCTAGTCTTTGATGGGTTACCATTCCCTACTATGATTCAGAATGGATAAGAGACGCATAGGACTGGCTTAAAAGGGTGGGGTGAATTCTAAGTGGATATGAAGAGTTAGTCATACCCAAAGTCGTTATCTTAACTACAACAAAAGGAATACCCGATGAAAAAACTCCCACATAAAATAGTATTATAATTTTATTTTATATATTTAAGGATAATTATTATAATACTTATGTAAAACTCTTACCGCATTTTATGTTTAACCCTTCATCAAACTCTAGAAACGTTGTTATGTCCTAGTGCTTGAGGAGACAATCTTGAAATATTTTGGCCTGCCATGCGCAGCTTCGAATCATGTTGCTGACGTTAGTACTTCGTTTTTTTTTATCATTTGCATATACGATAATGCTAATAGTTCTTCGGTTTAATTGTGCAACCAGTCCTTATTTTCTTAACATATTTAATCTTTAGTCCTAGTAATGTTGTCAATATGTCCGAGTGGTTAAGGAGTCAGACTCGATTCTGAATGGCTACGCTTGCGCAGGATCGAATCCAGCTGTTGACGGTTATATGTTTTATCTTATTTATTTGCTTATAGGGTAATGCTAATACTTCTTTGGTTTAATTGTGCAACCAGTCCTTCTACTTTTAACAGAGTTTATATTTAGCCCTTGTATTACCATCAGTGCTGTCGATATGTCCGAGTGGTTAAGGAGTCAGACTCGAAATCTGATGGGCTATGCCTGCGCAGGTTCGAATCCTGCTGTCGACGTCTCTATTTATTTATTTATTTGCTATAGGGTAATGCTAATAGTTCGGTTTAATTGTGCAACCAGTCCTTCTACTCTTAACAGAGTTTATATTTAGTCCTTGTATAGCCTTCAATGTTGTCGATATGTCCAAGTGGTTAAGGAGCCAGACTTGAAATCTGATGGGCTATTTCTGCGCAGATTCATATCCTACTGTCGACCTTTCATGCTTTTTATTTATTTCCTAATGCTGAATTGCTAATAGTTCTTCGGTTTAAGTTTAATTGTGAAACCAGTCCTTATACTCTTAACAGATGTTTAGTCCTTGATCTGTCCTTCACAGCGTCGATGTGTCCTAGTGGTTAAGGAGACAGACTCGAAATCTGTTGGGCTTTGCCTGCGCAGGTTTGAATCCTGCTGTCGATGTCTTTGTTCTATATATTTAATTGCATGATTAATGCACAATTCTAGCAACTCCAACTATTGATTCTACCTCAGTTCAATCCTCCCTGTTTTTCTGCACAAACCACATTGTGGACCTACAAGAGTTGAATCAAGACCTTTTTGAAGGAGAATCGAACTATTTACTACTCGATCGAATGAATTAGTTTCTTTTACTTATGCCTAGGGGTGTATTCGGACCAAAAATTGAACTGAATCGAATGGTATATTTATTTTTTTAAAACTGAACTGAAAACAAACCGCAAATTAAAAATTCCGAACCGAACCACATAATTTGGTTCGAATTGGTTTCTCGATTTTCTCGACTTCGTTGCTAACGCCTACTTATGTCAACCGTTATGCATTTCTTCTTGCAGGACTACGAAAAATTTTGCTGCTTATATCTGCATGGAGATGCTCGGTAGTCCAGCTGTAGTTGCAGGTATGGAAAAAGGGGACTGACACAGACGGTCATTCTACTGAAAAATTATATTTTTATATAATTTAAGTAACCTTTTATATATTTTTTATTGATAATATATTTTCGCTGTTTAATTTTTTTTAATTTATCCCTTTAAATTTTATAAGTTTGTTCGTCCCCGATTATGAGCCCGGCTGATTGCATTCCTTTACCTTGTTGGGAAAGTCACAGATCATACGTGAAAAATATATTTTCAATCACTGGTACTATTTCCATTTTTGCACGAATCATTGCAGCATTTTGGTTAATATCCAGCCTTGACCAGAAATAGGTGGATGATTAGGCTCAAAACCCACTCATAAAATGGAAGAATCTTATTATACCAATCTTAGAAAGGGGATATGCCAAGTGGTCTCAATTATTTAGATGAAAGTGCAGAAGCACAGTTTTATCGATAGGGATGGTTTAAGTGATAAGCAGCTTGATACCACTTAAGTAAGGTTTCGAGTTTGATTCCTTGTGTATGTAGAAAATTTCTATTGGAAGACTCGCCCATTAAAACCAAGGGTGTGACGCGGGTCGATCCGAATTAATCAAAACGAAATCTTAGCAAGGGAAGAGCAAAAATAAAAATAAAAATCCAGAAGCATAGTTTTAACAAATAATGGATTTGTCATTCAATTACTTGTGGAGTTGAATCAGGAAAATTAAGGCAACTGATGTCTATATTTTACTAAAATGATTCACTTTGGTTTTCTTGTCATCAACACGCGAATTATGGCATGCGACTGAAACCTGTATCAGATACACAACAATGTCGATAGTCACTATCAACTAGATCCTACTTGTTATATGGTTTATTGAAAGTTAAAGAACACTATACTCGTCATCCCAGTTCTCAACCATAAAAACTCTTGAATAATGAAGATTCGGCATTGTGCAGAAAGATCTTTAAAAAATGGGTTATTTTCAGCCATTGATATTCTTTGTTCTGGCAGCTTTTCCATTCTTGTTTGTTTCTCCATCTCATTCCTCTTTAGATCATGATGATGTTGAGATTTTCTCTCCTGCCAGACAAGATGGTAATGTTACTTTGTCACTGTACTATGAAACTTTATGCCTAGGTTGTGCCTCGTTTATCACAAATGACCTTGTGAAGGTCTTCCAGACTGATCTGTATACCATTGTCAATCTAAGGTTGGTCCCTTGGGATAATGCCGACATCGTCGGCGATTTAATCCGTTGCCAGGTTCGAGCTCGATACTCCGGTTGGTTGCTTGTGTTCTCATGGATAATGGATTTTATTCTTTTGTACTGTTAACTCTTTGCAACAATGTGCAGCATGGAGAAGATGAATGCTACTTGAATGCCATACATAGCTGTGTCATCCACTTGTGGCCTGATGAGGTAAATTCTATTAGCCGAAAGTGTTTGGATTTGGATTCGGGTTCGGATTAGTTATCAACTAATTTAATGCGATGCAGAAAACGCACTTCGGTTTCGTTCGCTGCACGGAAGAACAGAGGTTAAAGGAGGTGCCAGTTAGAAGCAAAGAAGCAATGTGGAGAAATTGCAGTGACCAACTGGGATTGAGAGTGGACATGATAAAGAAACGCTATGCTACTGGAATTGGAATGAAGGTTGGCTGCATATCTTAGTATCATTCCTTTGTTTTTTTTCTCCGAAATCTTCTATTTTATGGTCCACTCTTGACATTGAATGTTTGCAGCTTCTGCTTCGACATGGTTAAGAGACTGCAATTCTCAATCCACCTCATGAATATGTTCCATGGGTGGTGGTGAATAACCAGCCACTCAAAGATGTGAGTTCCTCGCACTCTTTTTTTCACGACTTAGAAGTAACTTCTGTGACAAGTAACTCCGATATTCATTTCATGGTGCAGGACTATGAAAATTTTGTGAAATATGTCTCTGATGCTTATCAAGGTGAAACTAAACCAGAGGCCTGCAATGCACAATCATCCAGTGTCGGTTCAAAGAATCGGAGGATGGGAACTAAAATCCATCCGGGCTGCTATGCCGAACAAAGTTGAAATAGGGCCTTAAAAGAGGTCATAGCTTCTGCTTTGTCCATTGCAGCTGCTTCACCATTCATCATTCACAAACTCTATAGTAAAACCAAATGCTAGTTGTCATTATAGGCGACATGTTTACGGCTGATGTGTTTATATCATCATTGTTCCATTCTATGAATGAGAAATCAACATCCTTGTTGCATATATTATTCGAACGAGTCCCGAAGCCAGACGAGCCTGCACAAATTGTCATCAAAGAGACCTTATTTTATTGTTGTATGGAAAGAGAAACAAAATATATAAATTGAAGGAATTGTGGGACATACATATACCATTTATAAGCAACTATATACCATATCAGGAACACCAGATGCAAATTGAATGTAAATGCAGCTCTTGCTGCGGTATGCCACTGAAACTGATGATCTAAATCCGAAACATTTGTACGTTCCGTGGGTGGCAGTGAACAATCAGACTCACTATTATGTTAGTCTCTGATCCTATGAAAAGTTTGGGGTGCAGCAATATGAAAATTTCATAGCCTACATCTGCTATGCCTACAAGACAGTTTTGGTAAAGGCCTGACTGTTACATTCTCTAAATGTAACTGGAGAGAAATCTTCAGTTTCTCCGATCTGCGGAACAAAGATCTCGGATCGGAGGAACATAGAAGCAACAGCATATATACGTATGTTGTTATGATTCATTTATATGATGAAATCTCCATTCTGCACCAGGAAGTAAAAGCAATTAGAAATCATCTTTTCTGGGTCAAATTCAAATTTACTCCTCCTGCACTAATCCATTTTTGGATGTTATAGGTTGAATCGTTTAATTTATTACATATACGGTAATGGTAATAGTTCTTCTTTGGTTTAATTGTGCAACCAGTCCTTCTGTGTTTACGATATTTTAAATTAATTCTATAATAACTTCTCAAACATTGTCGATATGTCCGAGTGGTTAAGGAGTCAGACTCGAAATCTGATGGGCTGTGCCTGCGCAGGTTCGAATCCTGCTGTCGACGTTATTATTGTTCTTTTTATTTGTAATGGTAATTAGTTCCTCTTTGGTTTATTTTTGCACACAGTCCTTCTACATTTAGCAAATTTGATATTTAGTCCTTAATTATCTTTTGATAGAGTCGATATGTCCGAGTGGTTAAGGAGTCAGACTCGAAATCTGATGGGCCATGCCTGCGCAGGTTCGAATCCTGCTGCCGACGTCGTTTAATTGCAATAGCCATATACGGTAATGGTAATTATTTCTTCTTTGTGCCTGCGCAGATTCGAATGCTGCTATCGACGTCTTTATACTTTTTTATTTAATTGCATTATAAGGTAATGGTAACAGTTCTTCTTTGGTTTAATTATGCACCCAGTCCTTCTACTTTAAGTATATTACACATTTAGTCATTCACTGAACTTCAACAATGTCGATATGTCCGAGTGGTTTAGGAGACAGACTCGAAATCTTTTGGTCATTGCTTGCTCATGATTGTATCCCATTGTCGAAGCAGGTTCGAATCTCAATTTTATTTGAGCATGAAAATAAAGATAAATATCATTTTTTTCAACTCCCTCAATTTTTAGTATTTCTTATATAAAAAAATGTCGTGTGACAGTATATGAGAGTGTCACGTCATCAATTAACGGTGTTAATCTCGAAAATATTTCGTAAGACAAGTACAAAGAGTACATTAAACGATTAAAAAGTAGAGGTATCATATTCACAAATTTACAAATTACAAGGGACATTCATGTCATTACCCCGATAAACAAATTAGAAGGATACATTAAACTATTTACTCATCGTTTTCTCTATTTATACAATTTATACATAAATAATTCCTCAATAATTCGTATTTTACATCTAAGTACGTATAAAATTAGCTTTAATTTCTCCAGCAAGAGACTTCGACCAATCTATTTCCTCTCCACTCCAAGGCCAGTTCATGCCCAGAATTCCCTCCAATTCTTACCTCATATGAATTATCCTTCTCCCTAACCATTTCTTTAGCTTCCATTACTCTTTCTATGCTCACCTTCAAACCTTCCAAAGTCGTCCCCGCCTCGAAATCGACAAAATGGCAAGTTTCATTCATGTTTTCCCATTTTTGGAACCAAGCTTCGGCATTGATATTAGGCCCTACAAACAGACACTCCATTGCCGTTCTTGCTTGGACCAAGTGCTTTGCGATGTCGAATTCCATCGACTCGATAATAGCTCGGTTGTGCATCAATTGTCCAATGAAGAATGCCCCGAAACCGGAACTATCTTCCAGTTTTTCACAAGCATCTCCATCACCAAGTGTTATGATTCCCCTGTTTGTTGCTAATACTTGTTTAGCTATGTCTAGGAACTTGTTGACAAGCTTCCTGTTCTTGCTTTTGCCCATGTGAGAGAGTCCCACCATGCAATTGAAGGCCAACCATTTCTGACTTCCACCTCGTTTCTTCGTTCCCTCGAGCTCATTCGCCAAATCTTCGATTCTCGTTTCTTCGATTTCAAACTTTAGGCCGAAAGTCCTAGCAAGGTTGCAGAGTTGCACTTTTGTGTCCTGAAACCTCCATGGAGACTGTCCAAAGTGTTCCTCTCCCCATCTTATTGATGTCAGTCTCAACGTCTTGTGTTGCATTGACATTGCCTCGATCAACAGAGGCCATTGAATCCCCACTCCGATGTCGAAATCCACTATGTGTAGCACGTCTATATCGTTCGGTATGGCTTCGAGGATTGCCGAGTTAGCAGCAAAATGAGCAAACCTCCCATAAGGGAATATCTGATAGAAAGTCTGGAAGGCTACCTCAAAATTCTTGCTAGACTCTTGCATTAGATAAACTCTTTGATTTTGAACATCTTGAGACGATAAATTGAATGCGATCCGTTCCAAGGTTTCGCCAACTGGATTTCCTTTCTCGCTCACGCACCTTAAGATCACCTCTGCGAGCTCTGTCTGGTTCTTCTCTTTAGCTTCTCCGTATGCAGTGAGAAGATGAAATAGGGTCAACTGGTTTTCAATTCCCATCATGGCTTCTCCTAGGCCCGGCATAGACCGCGCTGTTGTCGTATGTACCGATGCCTCACTCGACCGACAAGGACTCCATACATCTTGCCTCTGAGAGGAACACGGCTGCGACTGTGACAAGAGAAAACTTTCTTCACCAACCCCATCATCAGTCAACATAGAATCAAGTTCCACCAAGGGGACTGAAAATTCTCCCCATGGTACTGTGACCTGAAGCTGATCATCATAACCATAGGTCGGGTATGGGAAAATCACATCGGATAACATCGTAGAGAAACATGACTCCTCTCTGGTAGCAAATGAAGAACAACCATCAAAACGAACATCCATGTTAAGACCAAAGTCTTTCGAATCCATCAGACCGTCGTTGAATGGCCATAAAGGGGTAAAGTTCTCCGATTGCATCATCTTTCCGATGAATTTTCAGAGGGTTGAAAGAACTTTGATTTGCTTTGAGTTCCACTTTCCAGGTTAGTTTTAGTATAAATAGAATAGAAGATAGAGATGCAGTAAGGTCATTTTTGCAGTTGATTATTAATATAATATAGAAAGAAACATGATTAAGGAAATGAAATTCCAAATCTGCAATCAAATCTGAATAAAGGTTCCCTGTTGGGTCGGCTTCCTTACTTGGCAGCTTCTTAGAGTTACCAGTTCATGGAAATTCTTTATTTAATCAATATTTTTATGAATTTTTTAATGAAGAGATTTAGTTGGATGAACTATTCATTCAATGGGAAAGATATACATGCATATAAAGGCTTCCGGCAGAATAAAAAAATTACATGTCACCATCAACATATAATATAAGAATATTTGACACCATCAGCAAAAGATTAACTCAACAAACCACCGATTTAGAGGATGCATTAGATAAACTGTTTAGGACACGACACCATCTTCATATAAATGCCTCAAACCAATCACATTAGGATTAAGGAAACACTTGACAAATTCAAAACCCAAATTCGTAATAATAAATGCACAACTACATGCAGTAGTAACCCCCTTTCGGATCCCCGCCTTTTTCAAAACCTTTACCAGAACTAGAAAGAAAGACGCTTTGTAACAAACGACGGACTGAGATGACAACATTACCTTGAGGACTAAAATTCAGCTCATAAAACCATGACTCGTTGAATCATACCCTGGGTCCATCCTGCTGTCTCCTTGAGCTGCTCATCATCAGATTGGAGGCATTCGCCGAGAAATTCATCATAAAATGAGGATTCTTTCAGCATGAGCTTTATGTTCGAACCAAGAGCATCTGCTAGATCACCCATAACAGCTACTGCAGCTTTTGTCACACTTTCATCCTGCAATACATGAAAAAAAAACAAAGTATTTAGATGGATAATACAAAAGGCTAAGAACCAATATACTAAAGATGACATAATATAGAAAATAAAAACTACCTTTGGCTGTCTCTAGAGACCAATTCTATGAACTTCAAAAGATGTTGAGCATACGGCACCATAACCTCAGGTTTCACAGTCTTAAAACCTTGAAGCATACCAGAATAAGCTTCAAAAATACTACGTCTGAGCTGGTTGCCATAATCAACCATCTCCTCGTCAGAAGTTTCCATCTTAGCACAGATTTCGGCTGCTCCCTGCATCATGGGTAAAGCATAGGGGACATACTTCTCAAAGTGCTCTCCTATTGCAAGAGCAATGTCTCCAAAGCAAGAGAATATGGGAGGCTTTACAGACCGATGAAGCTCTGAACTAGCAAGATCCTTTAGAAGAAGACCCATTATGCCATCACAATAAGGTAAGATCTTGTCATCTAAGGCACGACAGATGTCACCAACAACCCCAACTGTGATTCCGCATACCTGGTATTCCTCAAATTCTGCAATCCCATCTCAAGATACTTATAGAACTCAGGCATATACTTCTGAAACTGAGATCCAGTTGCATAAGCAAGAGCACCTATTGCAAGCATTGCTTCCTCATGAACAGTAGAGCTGCGGCAACCAAACACCTTTAGGAACAGAAGCATGATCTGGTCGGCAGCCTGAAGTATGATGGGTTTGGTTTCATCTGTGCTGCTAAGTTTCTGGATGATAACCTGTAGAACACCACAAAGAGAGGCTTGCAAGTCCCCTTGTTTTTCCCTATCATCCGATGACACAATCTGAATATCCATAGTCTGGCCCAACTTATTCATAATGGCCGGTAATAGCTGCGCTATGATGGAAGATGTTTCTGCAATGTTGGAACATCTGACAACTTCATTCAAGGTTTCATAAGCAGAAGACCTGAGCTTGGAGTCACCCCCATCAGTCCGATCAGCAGTTGCAATTAGACAACTGATTATTTCAGTGAGATATGGTGAAAGAAGAGAGGAGCTTGGTCCTGCATCCTCATAGCCTTGGGCAAGGTAATAGATTGCCCCACAAACTTTCTCAGCTATATTGGGAGCATCCTTGATGCTCTCCAACAACACACCCAAAACTCTTTTGAGATTCTCAGGAGAAATGACAAAGAAACCGTTAGCTGGAGTGTGCAGTAACTCAAAAATACGACTAAGTGTCCAAGCTGTAGTGTCCTTCACCTGGTTGTTCCCATCCTTCATTGCATTAAGCAAAAATTCCAGACCCGCCTGTACCAGAGGGGAGAGCTTCTCAACAGATGGGCCTTCAAGAATAGATCCAAATGCATAAGTGGCAGCCTCTCTACAACGCCAGTCTGGCTTCACAATGTTAGATTCCACAAATGGCATCACAAGAGGCACTATAGCATCTCCAACTGTTCTGGCAACAAGACCTAGACAAGTCCCACCTGCCATTGATATGTTCCAGATTGTATCATCCTGGTCTTGATCCTCTTCCTGCTTCAGCAAAGTTTCCAACAACAAAGGAACAAGAGACGATAAAGCCTTCTCTATGAAACAAGAATGGGGAGGTCCAGAATCACCACTTTCAGGACTCTCAAACTCCTGAAGTTCAATTTCTTCATCACAGATAGAGCTCCAGAATTCAATTGCTTGGAGTGCTACCGTCTCTTCGTCACCTTTTACAGCATTTGATGTAAGCTGAAATAGGGTTTGCATGTAAGGCTCGAGCACCTCATAATATGCTGATGCTATTGCAACAAGACACTCAAAAGCAGCCTGCCTGATTTCCACCTCTTTGGACATGGCAGTGTCACAAACAACCTTCATGATATAATTCCGTTCCATCTCATTCTCAAAGTTGGTCTGTGCAAATTCTAAAGCATTATACAGAGCCTTGGTTGCTGCAAGCCGAACATCAGGGCCATGGTCAGCTAGATTCATTCCTTGGACAACAGCGGTGAGAACAGCATTGACTTCATCCTGAACAAGGTCCTGATGAGATATCTCTTCACAAACATATCCCAGGGTTTCCAAGGTAGCTTGTTTCAGGGCAGCAGGTTTGTCTTGCTGGGTCATATTATTAAGTAATGACCCAATCAGTTCAGGCCACTGCTTCCGAGGAACCTCATTGAAGCGATTTTTGCAATAACTTGAGCAGAAGTGTGCCTCGCCTCGGGAACAGATGAGCCAAGAGTTTTCAAGAGAGAGTCTTTGATTTGAGACTTAATAGAAACATCAATTGCCATCCATTGTTGAACAAGTTGTTCCTTCCTAATAGCATCTTTGGCATCTAACGAATTCTTAAGCACAATACCAGCCAATCTACGGGATTCAACAGGTTTCTCATCATTTGAAAGCTCAACTGACAAAGAAAGAAGGAAAAGAGGCATGTTCTGTTCTTGGAACTGCCTCAAATTAGTCTCTGCCTCAGTCCGGACTTTTGTATCTGCTGATTGGGCAGCCAGCATAAATTGAGTTATCTCCATAGCCATTTTAACTAACCTGCAATTGGAAACAAAAAACACTAATCAGCATTGGTGAATAGGACACAAATACATCACTAGAGATTGCAGCCAGTTATAATTGAACAATATCAAACAGTCATAGATAGTAATAATCATGGTTGGTGCCTTGGAGCAGATGTTGAAGAAACAAACTTATCAAAACCACACAAGTTATCCGGAAAACATAAGTCACCATTTACCAAGCTTAATATAGAGTAGAATATCATTGCCAATGATAGGTCAACAGTGACAAATATGCTGAAACAGTGAAATCATACTTTCCACTAAAAGAAATTAAATCCTTATACTTAAATAAGAATATTAAATTTCAAGTGCATGCAGTAACTTCTTTGTTCAATTTCTCAATCACTATCCCTCAATGATATTGTCATATTATTTGATTTCGAAGTTCAACCTAAACGAAGAAATAAAAGCATTACAATTTAATGTTTCTAGGGTCTATCTTACAATTACATAAACCCAAAAGTTCTTCAACCCCCTTCGCACAATAACATAAATCAAACAGTTATTGCTAAGAAAAAGGGGAAGACCTTAGAACATAACATAAAACCTGTAATCTTATTCCTTTACTAATCGGAGAATCAACCAAACAGAACAAAAGAACACACGTGAGTGAAGATAATCAAACAAAAAGAACAAGCACACCGAGATCTACATATATGAAAAAGAGGAAATAAAGCGAAACTAATCTTTTTCAAAGCTGAAAACCAAAATACAAGAAAACCCCACTGAAGTACAAGTAAAAAACCATAGATCTGAAACTAAAACAGAAAAAAAGGAACAGACGAACTTGAAGTGGAGAGTGATATACCTCAAACAAGTCTCCGATGAAGCAGGGGGCTTCGAAATAAACACACACAGTCTGGGCAGAGAGAACTTAGGGTTTTTTTTATCACTCTCACACACACGAAAACACTATTCCCAGTGTTTTCTTATGCTGTTTTCCTGCCGATGCCAAAGCCAAACAAAGATTTGAAAAAAGGAAACAAAATGAAACGAAGGAGAGGAGGAATCGGGGAAGAAATGGCTATGGATTTTTGAAGATATGGGATTTGATGATTTCAGGTATTTATATATAAATCAATTTCGAATGATGGAGGAAGCGGGATGTGGAAACACACACACTGAGTGGGAACAGGCACCTGCCCGTCGCCCCCCAAAACCCTAGATTTTTGAAATCTCACACTTGCTACTCTCTTCCCACGTGCCGTATATATTATTTCCGGGAATCTCTTGACGATCCAGCTCAGTTGATAGAGCACAAAGTTCTTAATTTTGGGATCTAGTCTCACGGATGGTATTTTATAAATCGGAAGTCTCCTACGGAAGCTGTTCTCAATCTGGCGTTGGGGACAGCCTACTATCCTACCTCCCCTTTACCCCATTACATATGAGAATAAGGGTCAGCTAATTTTTTTCCTTTTGGCCCATGGGCTTCGGCCAGGTGTAACCAGTTTATATATTTTGCGTCACTAACTTTTGTACGATAAACTACGGGTATTTAAATTATTAGTTTTGATCTAAAGAAGTATTGAATTTTTTTTTTTTAAATCTTAACATTTAATTTTTATTTCATTTTATTATTTTGTTGTTGAAAATTTAACGTGT